AAAGCGGAAAAGTCAAGAAGGAGAAAGAGGGAGGGGCGTGGTAATGTACACGTTGCAAGAGAAAAGGAGCAGGTAGGGGAAGAGTCAATGACTGTATTCCTCTTGCTCAGTAAATCAGAACATTACATAAGATAAGATGAACACAGAATTGCTCCCTGTGGAGATATTAATGTTTTATCTGTAGCTGTCTGCTTAGGAACAAAAGGGAAGGCAGCAGCTTCTTGCATGACTCAGCTTTCAGCTTACTTTTTCCTTTTGGCAGCATGAATTGGGGTCCTGTGTGTTTATTTTCGTTTCACTAGAGGACTCACCAGAAGATATGGGGAGGGGATATAAAACTAGTGGAAGATAAAGATTACTTTATTGAGTATATTTATTCAGCTCCTTTGCAGGCCCCAGTTCCCAGTCTCTGGTGATGAGGGCGATTTTCTCCCTCACAGAGGAATCTTGATGGCTTGCTGCGGGCAGGAAGGGAAGGTCCACTCACCCTTTCTGGAAATGCAGTTTCTCCAACGTTTTCAATCAGAAGTAATCAATGCACCAATCCAGCATTTTGGGGGATGGCATATCTTTCAGTCCTTCAGTGGGCATCTGCAGTTTGCCATGGTAACTAATGAGTTACTGCAGATATCATAATGGTACACTCTGAATTTTTACAAAGTGAACCAACCCATGTAATTACCACCCACATGAAGATAACAGAGCATTAAGGGAGTTCCAGTGCCCTTCCTCATGGCCCTTACCAGTCCTTACTCCCCATTACAAAGGTCATCATGAATGTACATTTCATCAAGACAGGGGAATTGCAATAGACAAAGAGTAATTCATGCAGAGCTGGCTGTGCGGGAGACCAGAATTTTATTTCTACTCAAATCAGTCTCCCTGAGCATTCGGGGATCAGAGTTTCTAAGGACAACTTGGTAGATTCAGGGGGATGCCGATGAGCCAGGAGTGCTGATTGGTCAGGTCAGGGTTGAAATTGTAGGGAGTCAAAGCTGTCTCCTAGCGCTGAGTCAGTTCCTGGGGCGGGGGGGGAGGGGTCGGGGCGCAAGATCAGATGAGGCAGTTTACAGCCTGAGTGATGGCAGCTGATCCATCAAGTTCAGGGTCTGCAAAATGTCTCAAGCACTGATCCCAAGAGCAGTTTAGGGAGGGTCAGAATCCTGCAGCCTCCAGCTGCATGACTCCCAAACCATAATTTCTAATCTTGTGGCTAACATTAGTCCTACAAAGGCAATCTAGTCCACAGGCAACAAGGAGGTTTGCTCTGGGAAAGGTCTATTATCATCTTTCTTTTAACCTATAAACTACAAACTAAGTTTCTCCCAAAGTTAGCTCAGCCTATGCCCAGGAATGAACAAGGACAGCTTAGAGGTTAGAAGCAAGATGGAGTCTGTTAAGTAAGATCTCTTTCACTGTCTCAGTCTTAATCTTGCAAAGGCATTTTCACTGTGGTGCTGCCTAGAAAGTATTTGAAGAGCTGAGTGAGAAACTGTACATGAAAAGCTGGATTTAACCAGGGTTAAAAGGAAAACGTAGACAAATTAAATTTAACAGAGTTTAAGTGAGCAAAGAACGATTCAAGAATCTGACAGTCCCAGAACCAGAATAGGCTCAGGGTGACTGCCGGACTGCCACATGGTTGCATAATATTTAATGGACATAGGAATGAAAGTGACAGACAGGAAACGGAAGTGAGGTGCAGAGACAGCTGGATTGGTTACAGCTCTGTGTTTGCCTTATTTGAACACGGTTTGAAAGGTTGACTGCTTGTGATTGGCCAAAACTTTGTGATTTGGTTCAAGAGGAGGTTACAATCTGTTTACATATCTAGTTAGGTTATAGTTCCCTATGGATAGAGAAAACTCTAGTCCAAACTTAAAATATGTAAGAAGGCATCTTTAGGTTACTCTTAATTTAACATCATAAATAATGTAAGGAAAAGACTCAACTTCTGAACAATTTATTTAGTAGTCACCACAAAAGTTTCCAACACATTGAAAGTCTCTCCAATGTTGACTTGTACAAGAAGCCTTTAATGGAATTTACCCCAACAGACATTTGCTTGTCTTTAGCCAACATTTGAGGAGCACTTGTTACTTGTATAACCTCATGCTATCTATGGGTGATACAGATATTAAGGTGAACTCTGACCTGAAGCAATTTCTAACCTAACTGTAGAAAAAGACATATGCAAAACAATTAAAGCTTAACTTCCAGATTTAAGATAGGAGCAATGTGGGACAGAAATTACGGCATGGTACATTTTGGAGATGAAGGCCCAGCGTACAAATGCCACTGACAATTATGCAGTCTTCATTGAATGACATTAGTTTAAAAGGCATTCTCAAGCAGTTTAGTCAATTTCCAATATTTTGTTATTTTTTTTAAATTCCAATTTCAGCCTCCAATGCTTACGTTGCCTATTGAGCTATCTTCTATATTTCTTTTCTGTGAAGCTATATTTGCTCATCACTGTGTGATTCAACTTTGCTGACATAATCAAAGCTGTGGCATGGAGTGTGCCCTACTCTTTGTGGATGAACAAGCTGAAGTTTGGGCTTTGTTCTTGCAGAAAAAAAGTGGTTTGTCTGGGCATGGTGGCTCACACCTGTAATCCAAGCACTTTGGGAGGCCAAGGCAGGTGGATCACCTGAGGCTAGGAGTTAGAGACCAGCCTGGCCAACATGGTGAAACCCCATTTCTACTAAAACTACAAAAATTAGCCTGGCGTGGCAAAGCGTGCCTGTAATCCCAGCTACTCAGGAGGCTGAGGCAGGAGAATCACCTGAACCTGGGAAGCAGAGGCTGCATGAAGTGAGCCGAGATTGCACTGCTGCACTCCAGCCTGGGCAACAGAATGATGCTCTGTCTCAAAAAAAAAAAAAAAAAATAGAAAACAAAACAAAAAACCTAGCTTATGGAAGTAGAGATGACGAGTGAAATGCTGTCTGCAGAAGGTTATGATATGATGGGAGATTCTGAAGCCATTGATAGTACTAAGCAAGGACATTATGCATTGTATCCATATACTGTATATTGTGTTTATTCCTGCCATCTGGATGCCTGTCCAAAACTGCTGGACACTTGACCCTGATTAGGCCCCACAGTTCCTGGAATACACCCTGGTCTTCCCGGCTGGAGGCAGCACAAACTAATGGCTTTGAGCTCTCAGTTTCCACACATTTCACTCTCCTATACTTTAACACAAATCCTAAGCTTTAGTGAATAGGAGGCAGCACAAACTAATGGCTTTGAGCTCTCAGTTTCCACACATTTCAATCTCCTATACTTTAACACAAATCCTAAGCTTTAGTGAATATATACCAAACAAGCAAAATTGGCTAAGAATAAAATCGAGATAAAAAAGAAAAAACTCGAAAAATTCCAACAAATGGTCCAAAAGGCTTAAAGATGCATTAAGAACTGTCTAAGGGCATCAGAATCACTAAGACCCAA